GGAAAAAAAAAAAAAAAAAAAAAGATGCAGGTGAAAACTTGGGTCTTTGGTTTGCCAGAGACAAGAGCTGTGGCCCACAAACAATGGAACTATCTATCTTGTAGTCTAAGATTAAGGTATCAAAAGGCCAGGGGCAGGCAGACCTCAGGCTTAAAGAAAACCCATGTTTGCAATGGGGTGTCAACCCAGAATAGTGTACCTAGGTCATGGTTTAGGTCCCCTGGGGACCTTGCATGTGAAATGGCAATGGTGGCCCTCAAGAACAGTGTCATTAGGCCCATTGTCACTACTACCAGTCAGGAGCATGGCCAGTGCCCGCTGTAGAGTAAGGCTTAGCCTGAGTAGCTTGCCCAAGCCAGAAAGTGGATTGAGATGATCCCAGTTCCCCTTCTCAGTCACCTCTGTCTTCTTAGCCTCCAATGCCTCCTTTCCCCACTCTATAAAATGGGCTGACAGTGTGGTTGTTGGGACGACTGTGTCACTGTATAACACCTGGTGCATGAAGCATTGTCCTGTGTATCATCCATATTGAGATAGTTGGCTCTGCTGCACACCCCAAGTGTACACCAAGGGCTCTGATTTACCTGTCCCAGATGAAGCCCTGCCCCAGATGAAGGCGTCTTTCTGTGGTGGCACCGTCCCTTCTCATTCTCTGTAAGAGACCTCTTTCCCCTGCCACATAAGCCCTCCTCATCTTCTTCATTGAGCCCCCAGCCCAGACCATGGAGCCTATCTAGGCCATGTGTGCAAGGGGACTTTGCTGGATACTGTTTATCCCTAGCACTAAGCTCATCAGTTCAGGCAACCAGGTGTCAAGGCTGTGGACTGTGTCAGTCCCACTGAAATTCACCTGCCCTGCTGGGAAAACTTTACCTTAACTGCTTCAACAGCCCAGCAAAACTCTGTTTCTTCCCTTATTTCAAATTGTCTTCCTGAGAATGCACATGCCAAGCCAATAGCCTGGCCCTGTGAACACCCTTCTTCCCCACAGTGCATCAGGCAGCATGTGTGAGCCATGACCTACTTACTCAGCAACTGCTCTTTAATAAAAACCAGTCACCCCCTCAATGGAGCTACACCCTTCCAATGAAGTGTGAGAAGGGCAGCCCGCTGGAGGCAGTGGGTGCTGGGATCGGCTGGCTGCCTTTTGTGGTCTTTTCTGAGAGTGTGGTGAGATGTAAAGATGGCATAAAACATCTTTTCAGTCGGTGAGAGGCTGTTGGCCATTTGGAGTAAACCTTGCTGGGACATATCCCTTAGATCTCAGCAGGATGGGAGGACTGTCTTGATAGATCTAGGCCCATCACCTCTGGGGGTGTGTCTCAGGCCCTGTCTTTTAAAGAGACACACAGCATTGTCACCACCCCTTGACTTAGGTAGTACTGTTATGAAGTAGGGTAATGGGACAGAAAAGGAGCAGCCAGGGACAGTGTGGCAGAGTCTTGGAGAAGGGTGTATCAGTCTCCTGAACTGGAACTTACTTAAGAAGTGTCCACACACATGTGTTGCTAGGAGATGATAGTATACACTAAGTTCCTGCCCCCTGAGAGGAACCCCTGCTGCTGAGGAACACAGCTGGAATGAAGGTTACTGGTTTTCTGTGCCCAAGTGCTGCTGAGAAGCTTCTGATACAGAGCGGGCACCCTACTGTGACTTTGGAGAGCAGGCCTGGCTTACTGGAGGAGGCGCTGCCCATAGATAGACCAGGAGGAGGGGCAGGGTTTGCCCAGTGAGGAAGGAAGGATCCTGGTGTTCCAGAGGCATAAGTCTAGGACTGAAATCTCACCCTTCCACTCTGCCAGCAAAGAGCTGAGGCTGGGAAGTCAATCTGGAGGTTGGAAGGTGTCCTTTTGCTGGGCAGATGGCAATGGAGCCTTTATCTAAGTGGGAAGATGCCTCCCATAAAACTGCAGAGTGACTGTAAGAATGTGTGGTACATTGGGGAGCCGCAGAGCACGCCCTGGAGAGCAGCTGCCTGGGAACAGTCCACATATGGGGTGGGGGTGAGATATGGATTAGGGTGCAGAGCAGGAGGCCTCAGGGGAAGCTTTCATTTCTATCCTGAGGGTTAGTGAGAGCCACAGAAGGATCTGGGCAGGGGAGGTCTGCTCCCAGCTATGTTTAAGAATGCCATGCCTGCTATAGGTGTGAGAGAGCCAAGGCAGTGGGTAAGGGGTGGGACTAAGGGTAGATTGGAAGGTGTTGGGCACAGATTTAGAAGAGGGCCAGGACGGGAGGATGCTAAAAGGTGTGTGCTAGTCTAGAGAGTAGATGGCTGAGACCCAAAGCCTCTCTACCCATCCTATGGACCAAGCTGAGGCTGAGAGGTGAGTAGAATGGTGAGCTATGGAGAGGCCTGTGGGAAAGCCTTCACATTAGCATCACCCTAGAATCTGTTAGAGCAGAAGCTATTTTTCTGAACTGAGGAAGAATACAAACTTTGGATGTGTGGCACTGGTGCTACTGTTTGGGATACAGGCTGGGTAGCTGAGCACCACCCTAGGCCTAGGGAACAAGAGCTAGAAATGCCCTCCAGTTAGGGTTGGGGTTTACTCTGGGATGCAGCCTGCTCAGTGTCCATAATCCTTGATCTTTTCTGTCTATGTCCCTTCCAGGTGGTGTCCCCTTGAGCTTTCTGGTGTTGGTGACAGGCTGCACATCAGTGGGCAGAATTCCAGATGCAGAGATCTACAAAATCACCGCCACTGAGTTTTGCCCCCTGCAGGAAGAGACCAAAGAAGAGGACCGCCTGCTCGCCCTGAAAAAAATCCTGAGCTCAGGCGTGTTTTACTTTGCATGGCCCAATGATGGTTCCAGTTTTGATCTGACCATCAGGGCACAGAAACAGGGTGATGACTGCTCTGAATGGGGGACCTCATTCTTCTGGTAAGGGGATGGGTCACAGAGGGTAGATTCTGGGTAACACCTGAGCCATTGCCTTTCATCTTGCATCTGCCTAGGGACTGAGTCAGCTATGGAGTGGCATTGAGAGTCATATTTGTTCTCTGTGCAGTGAAAGAAGATAATTAATCCAGCATCCCTGCCCTGTGGGTTTAGCTCCAGGTATATCCATGTGGTCCCAGGTAGATCTAGAAAAGAAACTGTTTCCTAGCTAAAGAATGTTGGGGCTTGCATCAACTACTCAGGCATGCTCTACAGTGATGCTCTCTTTAGATGATCCAGACCTTTGGATCATGATGGACCTGCCATGTCGTGTGGAGCTGAGAGGGCATTGATTGCAGGGACCATGCTCAGGCCTTCTCTGTAGTGCTACTCTCCTCAGACTTGTTAAGGATGAGTGAGTAACAGGCAGAAGCATTGGGTGAGGATCCTTCTGCTGCTTGTGTTCTAGCAAACCTGGTCTTTAATGCTTTAACCCAAGCAGCCCCCTGTACAGCCATACCAGTCTCCCAGCCAGACAGACTGTCCTCATTGGTGCCTCCTGGCTTTGCTCTCAGGAGCCAGCAAAGGTTCTCATGTGGGATAAGGGTCCTTTTGGTAGGGCTTCAGCTCCCTGCTCATGAATTCCTTATTTCTATTGATATTGCAACCTCGGTTATATCCCCATATTCATCCCCTATCACCCTGCTTTTACATCCTCCTGGGTCCTCTCCAGTTTGCCAGTTCATGTGGTCATGTTTAGAATACATATGAGATCCTGCCTGTCTTATTATGATGCATGCTGTAGTACCGCAGGTGGGGACAGGATCTGAGACCCTTCCACATCTCTCACCAGCTGCCCAGGTATGCTGCAGGCCATGCAGTTAGTCGAAGGCGCTAGGCGCTTGCTGGACTTTCTCTGGTATCTGATTTTCTTTGGGGACCAGCATGTGCCTTAGTACTGTCACATGTCCTCCTGAAGCTATTGCCCAAGGCTGGGAAGGTCTTATGCCGGACGTTCAGGAACAGCTTTAAAGCAGTGGTTGTCTGTGAAGACAAAAGAGGCTGTGGCATACCTTGGAAACAGTAGATCCTCGGTATCTGGCTCACCCCAGCACTTTTGTACTTGCTTCGCCATTGACGGCTCTGTGGCAGATGTGAGGCAACACAAAGCCAGAGAGGTAAAGAGGCAGAACTGAGAGGGCTTGGAGGGGAGGAGGCCCCATCATACCCCTTTGAAGTAGATACCAGGCTGGATTTGGATTTGGGAGGAGGAATTATCTGTGGAATGTACCAGGTCCTGGCCCATGAAGCTGACCACATTAGAGTCAGCAGGCAGACTGACGACAGCCAGATCACCCAAGGTCTGGAAGCCAAGGCAGGAGGGAGATGGAGTCCACCTGGGATACTCTGATGAGCACAGAAAAGAGGACAGCAATGGGGTTGTCACTTCTGATGCTCTTGAGGCCTGGCAGGATGTACAAAGCCTTCGTGATTCCGATCTCTTCTTCCTGGGCTCTGAGCTGCCCTCCCCAGAGTCACTTAAGTAAACTGATCAGAGTTGTCCAGTTGACCGAGGCTCTTCCCCGTGCCCCCAGTGACAGGGGACATAGTGGCATGGCCAGCAGACCGTTTAATGTATGTTACTAAAGTAGTTTATTGTCTGAAGTTCAGAGAATGGCACAGAAAGCAGCCTATCTTTGTAAGGTGTTGCTTCTTAGCCATCTTCACACGCAGCAGTGCTGCACCTGAGAGAACCCAGTTGGTGAGCAGGGCTCCCATGCTGGTTCCCTGGGTGGGGGAGGCAGTGGCTGGCAGTGGTCACATTCCCAGAAGCTTGCCTCAGGGCAAGGGCTTTGAGAACCAGAGATCCTGCACTTGCACACATCAGGGAATTGAGCTCTAGGGCAGGAACCAGCTTCCTTTTTTTAAACAAATAGGCCATTGTGACCTAGATTTGTTCCAGACCCTGTAAGAGAAAGTTCCCCGGTGACAAGCCTCAGACTGGCACTGTTTGGGCCTCCTGGGAATGAGGGATGCTGGTTGATGGGGGATGGGAGAATAATGCAGCCCTGTGCAGTTATGGGGCTTTCATCCTGGAGGGCTGAAGCTGGAGTGTGACAGTGACAGAAGAATCACCTGGCACGCACAAAGCCCCGAGTTCTGGCCCTAACACTGCAGCCAATCAATCAGTGAATCAGTCAAGAAAATAAAAATCTCAGCCTTGGCTTTAGAACACCACACTGCATTTGCCAGCTCTCTGGTCTTGGGCAAGCATTTTACTTCTCATGTCTTAGTTTTATTAAGTGGAATTTCTGATAATAATACCTTTCACAGGGCAGCTGCAGCACAGATGGATTAAACCAGTCCGTGCCAATAATTTTGGAATGGTGCTTTGTAGTCTTTTTGAATGTGTCCTGTTTGTTTGTTTGTTTATTCTTCTCTCGTATAATACATCCTGACTTCAGCCTACCCTCCTTCCCCTCCTGCCAGCCTCACCCACCCACTCCAGGTCCACTGCTCCTCCATTTCCCTTCAGAAAAGAGCAGGCCTCCCAGTGATGTCAACCAAATATAGCCTAACAAGGTGCAGTAAGACTAGGGATAATCCCTCATATCAAGGCTGAACATGTGTTCGGTTTTAACCATCACTATCATCTCAGACTCCTGAGCCCACAATAATCTGCAGGCTGTGAAGGGGAAAGAAATAACAGGAGCTTGATCAACTTTTAGTTTTATCTAATCCCTTTTCACCTATATATTGCTTTCATTATATTCAGCTCACTCAGTATGTGTGCATATGTGTAATGTACATAAGTGCATGCATATTTAATACAGTGTTTATGTCATTTTACCTTAGCCCATTATTACTTAATTAAAGCATGAGTGATATTCTTTTAATGTTTTTTTGAGACAGGGTTTCTCTGTTAGCCCTGGAACTTGCTCTGTAGACCAGGATGGCCTCAAACTTAGAGATCCAACTGCCTCCTGAATGCTGGGATTAAAGGCGGGCATCACTACTGCTGGGCTAAAACACGAGTAACTTTTTAAATATTTATTTTTAATTTTGTGTGTGTGTGTATGTGTGTGTGCACGCACGTGCGCGCGCACACACTCACGCTTGCATGCACCCATGAGTACAGTTGCCCCACGAGGCCAGAAGAGGAGGTGAGATAGTTGGATTTCCTGGAGCTGGAATTACAGGTGGTTGTGAGCCTCCCAACCAGGGATACTGGGAACCAAACTAGGATCCCCCGCAGGAGCAGCCCAAGCTCTTAATCACTGAGACAGGTCTCAGATCCGTGAATACATATTTTATTCTGATAAAGAATATGGTGGACACAGGGCTCTTCTTAAAGTCCCTGAATGGTTGGCTTCCCTTCCAGCTTTGTTCCTTCTGGCCCTTACTGTCACCTTCTGGCCTCTTCCTCCTGTACATATCTTACTGGCCTTGCCATTTGGGGTCTTCTGAAGCACAGAATTTTCTGAATCTCTATGCCCCAACAGAAGGGCCCACTGGAGAGTAGTCATTGTTTGCCTCTGTTGGGTGATAATTCTTCCTGGAGACATGACAAAATGTTTTTCAGCTTAAACAAGGAACTCGCAGTAGCCCAAAATAATAACACCACCAAAGAACAACTTGGTGAACCACGGAGTTTATTTGGGTTATTTTTAGGAGTATGGGTTAGAATTTGCTTAAAGAAGTGTGGACAACTCAAATGCACTGGCATTACAGGACACCTACTCCAGCGTGGTTGAGAACTTAAGAAAGCTAGAACTATGTGTACCTTTCTGTATGACTTGCAGGCAGGTCACAAGTCAGAGTCTCCTCTCCTTAGCAATCCTTGCTGGTTATATAACCTTAAGATGGGAAAAGCCTTATAAATCTGTTATGTTTCAGGGACTTCCTGAGAATTGTGAATTGTTTGTTTACTTCTTTAGGAATTTCTGTTCAGAACTTTCTGAATTTTAAAACAGCCTCCCTTTAGAACTTCCTGAGGCTTAATGAGTTTCCTTCCAGGACATAATGTTTCTGTTTGGGTGAAATTGCTGGTAATAGCCTAGTGGAGCCATGGACCTTACGGGAAGCTCCTAGTACTTGGCTCTGGGTGCAGCATTTGTAGTGCCTGGTAGGGTAACCCAAAGGTGGGGCTGTTTTACAGGAACCAGCTATTGCATGTGCCCCTAAGACAGCACCAGGTGAGCTGCTGTGACTGGTTGCTCAAAGTCATCTGTGGGGTGGTGACCATCCGCACAGTGTATGCCTCCCACAAGCAAGCCAAGGCCTGTCTCATCTCTCGCATCAGCTGTGAACGTGCAGGGGCCCGCTTCCTCACCCGAGGTGTAAATGACGATGGCCACGTGTCCAACTTTGTGGAGACAGAGCAGGTGAGTACCCGGGCCGTGGCACAGAGTCAATGCATTTCACAAATGTGTGTTTTCTATTGTGAGTGGGAGAGGCTCTGATGTGTGTGAGCAGCTCTCTGACCGTGGCTTCTTCCTGTGTGTGTGTGTGTGTGTGTGTGTGTGTGTGTGTGTGTGATTGGAACATTGCTTAAAACTTGCCTGTGGCTTAGATGGTCTGTCTTTTTGATTCACAGCTCAGTCTGAAAAGACTTGTATGCATGAGTGCATCTGAAAGCCTGAGGACCTCTAGGTGAATCCAGAGCTCACCAATTTGGCTAGAAAAGAGTGCCCATTGAGTCCTAGATTTTTTGTTTTGTTTTGTTTTGTTTTGTTTTTGTTTTTCGAGCTTTGGAGCCTATCCTGGCACTCGATCTAGAGACTAGGCTGGCCTTGAACTCACAGAGATCCGCCTGCCTCTGCCTCCCAAGTGCTGGGATTAAAGGCGTGTGCCACCAATGCCCAGCTTGGATCTGACTTTTCTATAGGACCTCAGGGCTGAGCTCAGGTCTGAAGACCTGTGAGGCAAGCCCTTTCCCAACTGAACCACCTCCCGAGGCTTCTAATGTATGTTAATCACAAGGACTCAAGAATGGAAGCCTTAGCCATAAAGTTTACTCCAGAGGCAGCTGTCAAACCGATAGGAGTTGAAGTCTTTTTTAGGACAAATAAAGAACACAATAGAGTAATGGAAGAGGAAACTTTTTTCAATTCTGTATCAGCAGCAATAGCTTTGTTCCGGAAGCCTGGGAATGTGAGGAGCAGCAGTTGCTGTCATTGCCTATGGAGGAGAGCCATCTGTAATACCTCCTTAGTTTAATTTGCTAGCTTCTGTCCTCACTCCTAGAGATGGTGTCTTGCACCTGTCTGTTTGTTTGTTTGTTTTGGTTTTGGTTTTGGTTTTTTGTTTTGTTTTTTTGTTTGTTTGTTTGTTTGTTTTGCTCTTACTTGCTCCCTGAATGCCACCTTGCAGAAAAGCAGGGGGATCAGGTGCAGGAAGGAAAAGCCCCAGGGAGGCACAGGTGTGATGCGACTCTGCTCTGGGCTGCGAGCACCATGTGTTCCTGCAGCTCTACAGAGCTCTTTACTGTGTGGCTGCAAGAGGTGCCCTCACCAGTTGAATTCAGCACAGATATGCACATCACCCTCCACCACACGTGAACCTCTGTGTGCTCAGACATTCAGTGATGGCTCAAACCAGTATGCAGTGTGTGGGTCCAGTTTGCAGGGACACTGTCACCTACCTCTCAAAGACTCAAAGATGAAGGCCTCCTCATGGGAGTCAGAGGGAGGTTGGAGCAGGAGTCTCAAAAGATCTGTGGGTATGATTACTACGTTGTGGGAGGGCTTCTTGCCCCCCTCGAATGTTGACAAAGCTATTAAATAATGATTGGATGGAAAAAGAGAGCATATGTACTCCACCGTGGAAGCCATTCTCTTTTTTTCTCGCTCATGTCTTCACAGTGACAATGACATCCAGGGTTCTTGTGTCCGCCTTCTTTATCTCATCACCTTTATGCTTATCCTACACCCTCAAACCATTCTATTCTCGGACAGAGTTCTGATGGTTTTGTTTTGTTTTGCCAGTCATGATCTGGGCAAGACACCATGGGTAGAAGGTAGTGTTGATAATGATTGGCACACACAAAGCCTGAACCTGGTACCAGAACCAGTTCCCAGACATCATCTTTGGGTCGAGAGGGAATTCTGAGGCCAGCATTCTTCTTAGTTACCCAGTCTGAGGGAAGGGGGCCACTTATTTGATCCTGGTGCTGGTAGTCCCCAAATGTTGAGTTTACAGCCAGCTTAGAAATACTGTGGCCTCTGAATGTATCTAACAAAATACATCTTTAGGGGAACAACTGCCCCGCCCTGTAAGATGGAACATTAGTGAGAGCACAGTATGTTTCCTGGGACTGCTGTAAAGAAGTACCACACACTGGGTGGTTGAAACAACTGGCATTTGTTCTCACAGTGCTGGAGGCTGGCTAGCTAAAATCAAGGTGAGGTAGGTCTGTAATCTTTTGAGAATTCCAGGGGAGGATCCATCCTTCTTCCAACTTCTGTGGGTCCCATGTAAGTGGCTCAGAGAAGCATCATGCAGTTGCAGTCACACTGGATCAAAGGGTTCAGCATCCTCCAGGGTGGTCCCACTTATCTAATTACATTCACAGATGTCCTCCATTTGAATAAGGTCACAGCAGGAAGTTCTGGAGCTTGGGACTTTAACAGACTGTTTCTGGAAGGGATACAGTTGAACCCATAAACATTAGAACATAAATCCACTCTACAGGGGAGTGCTTTGACTGCAGGGAGAAATGCCCTGTGATCTTTGCTTTTCTCACTAAGACCGGCCGGCATTTCCACAGGATCTGGCTGGGGCTTTTGCTCTGGTGATGTCATGTAGGGTACCTGGTGACTCATATGTCCTGTTATGCCAGGTTACTTGTTATCTACTCTGCATCTCCTAAGTCTCCCCTGTGGGGCAGCTCACCCAACTGGGCCTTAGAGATGACAACAGCCTACCCACACTCCCAGAGATATGTATAGCCAGTCTCAGTCTGTTTCCTACTGCTGTAACACAATACTACATCCTGGGAATGCTGTAAAGAAGAGAGATTTGTTTTGGTTCGCAGTTGTGGTCTAAAGTGGAGGGCCCACATCTGGTGCCGACCTTGCTGACATTGTCCTGAGAGACAGGGCATCACATGGTGAGTGACGAGCAGCCCATAGGAAATGTATCCAAAAGGGTTTTTATTTGAAAACGATTCCTAAATGGCTCAATAACTCATTAATTGAGTGGGTTAATCAATCCATGAAGGCAGAGTGCTAATCACCGTTTGATGATGGGGATTAAATTTCAACGTGGTTTTAAAAGAGTCAAGCCATTGAGGCTTGCTGCCTCCTAATTTCTTTGGGTGGGAGGAGGGATTTCTTGGCTCCCATCAGCTTTTGTGGTCTTCCAGTTTGTGGGGTTTTTTTGTTTGTTTGTTTAATTCCCTTTTCCTCCTCTGAGCCACACTGGTACCTCTATAAACTTATCACTTGACCTCATTCCCTGGAGCAGTAGCAACAGGCAGTTGAAAGAGTATAACTTAACCCCACAGTGGTGTTTTCACTAGACACATAACCGGGCACAAGGGCTATGGCCTTAAGTCCAGAGCAAATCTTTGTTGAACTTGTGCATTTGAAGCTGCTACTAACAGACAGGCCACATGGGGAATAGGAGCCCAGGCTGACTCAGGCTGCCAGAGCCCTAGGGTGGTCTAACTGCATGAAAATGGGAAATGACCTCTGGGATGGGCCAGTGGCAACTGAGAAATGTCTTCAGCAGGGTCTACTTGTGGGCCTGTTAGCTGCTGCATGCCTGCTGCAGGACCTATACTTCCCTAGACCATCGTTTTACCATGCCCAAGTGAGGCTCAGGCCTACAGTAGCATAGGATTACTTCCTGCCCCTGGCATGCAGGTATTGTGTGTGTGTGTGTGTGTGTGTGTATGTATGTATGTATGTATGTATGTATGTATGTATGTATGTATGTATGTATGTATGTATGTATGTATGTATGTATGTATGTATGTATGTATGTATGTATGTATGTATGTATGTATGTATGTATGTATGTATGTATGTATGTATGTATGTATGTATGTATGTATGTATCCCGCCATGGTGGACAGCTAGAAAAGACGGCTCCTAGGAGCTCCCGAAAGATCTTATAGGGCAGCGTAAGGGGAGTGTCTAGGGGTACGCACAGGCTCACGATTGGTGTGCCTCCAGGCTTGGAGGGCTTGCCCTGTGTTGATTGGTCAACTGGTTGTTATGGCCCATAGGCCCTCCCAGGGTGGTTGCTATGCTCTCTACGTCATTGCTGTGTGCTTGTCCGTAAAGCACACCCAGGGTGGTAAAGTATAGCGCCACCAGCTAACTTCTGATTGGTTCCTTGTCACGAGACAGGCATCTGACTTTCTAGTGTCTAGAACAAGGTCATAGAAGCA